CTTCCCCCCCCTCCTAGACCCCCACCCTCTCTCTTCTCCTCACTTTGTGGTCGCTGTCTCAACCTCTCCCCCTCTCCCTCACTGTCAGACGCACTGCTTGTCTAATCAGCAACGCTCGCGCCGAAAGATCACCACCCGCCCTCTCTCCGTCACTGGTATTACTATCAGCTCTTCCCCTCCTCCTGGTCGACGGGCGAGCGACCCCCACGCCCCACCACCACTCCAACCACCGCTACCACCCGACCCCACGACACAAGATTCAGTACGAGTCTCTGCTCTCAAGCCACACCACCAGCACGGGGTTCGAAAGACGAGGTAGAAAGTTTATAACCCCGAGTGGAAAAGCCACGCCACTTCTTCGCGTCTCGGCTTGTTCCCCTCCAGTCCCGTGCGGCCTGACAAGTCGACAGAGCTCACCGCATCCCTCTCACTGATCTTTGGCGAAACCACACTCGCGCTGAGAGCGACCCACACGGACGTAGAACATACAGACAGGCGGTGCACTTGTCTCACTGTTCGGCCCACTCTTTCTTCCAGGACGCTTTTTATAGGAGGCAAAACTTCTTTTTCCTGTTCTTGTAGCCGCACTAGAAATCACCGCCTCGCCGGAACCACCAAAACTATCTCCAGTGCCGTCATCTCTATCATCATCAACATCACTATTTAAGAAAAAATTCAGTCTACCAAAGACGGCGGAGAGAAAATTGCAGAGGACGAATCTACGCTGTGTGGCAAAAGAAAACGAGGATGGCCCAGCGGGGCCTCTACAGCCCTAGGGCCAACACAGTTTCGCCGTCTCCATTAGGGAAGGATTAACCTGCAGTGATAACATGTGCCCGGCGTGTGTGTGCAGTCAACTGGCGAGACTGGAACGTCCCGACACAACAACGGAACAAGACTAACAGATTCTACCACCAGCACCAGCGAGTCGACCACAGGCTGATAGAGCGAGACTTGCACATTATTACACTCTCCGTGTGTGCGTGTGTATGTGTGCGCGTGTGTATATGTGCATGCATTAGGCCACCTTTATAGACCAAAGTACTTTTCACCAAGTACTTGAAAGCAGTTATAATATCTTGTGTCGTGCATTATTTGTGGTGGTAGGAGTCGCTGTTTTGATTACGCTGTCTCACTTAAGTTATCGGTAAAGATGTTCTTGATACAAGGACGGTGAATTGTCCTATGTACTCCGTGAATGAATTCTTGTTTTCGTTTGAGGAAAATTACTCTTGATAAGAATAGTAAGGGCAATTTCTGTACGTTTTGATGACATTTCTCTTAGCTCTAGTGATTCTTTTCCCTTGCATATACAGAGTTTGATCCGAGTATTGCTAGAATATTTCTGTTTCATTTTTGTTTCCGCCGCGAGTGAGCTGTACCTTTCCCCTGTCCGGGGAAATATTTTCCCTCGATCTTCTATGGCTGTGAGTGCGGTCCGCAGTTTGGACATGCCCCCGACACAGCCGACCCCTGTGATCCCCTGGAGAGAACCATCAGACGATCTCGGCGGACACCCACCGCCCCCTCCCCTGGGCAACCCGGGCGGTCTGCCCCCTGTCCCCCCACCCCCGAGCCAACAGCCCAGCCACACGACCACAGTGGCCCCTACTGGACACAACACCTTGGTGCCCGTAGACCCCGTCCCTCCTGGCTCACCCCCGGGCAACCATCAGAACAACGGGGGCACGCCCAATTCCAACATGTCGGAGAACAACAACAACAAGCAGCAGATCGAGTGCGTGGTGTGTGGGGACAAGAGCTCTGGCAAACACTATGGTCAGTTCACCTGCGAGGGTTGTAAGAGTTTTTTCAAGCGTAGCGTACGCCGGAACCTGACGTACACGTGCCGTGGGAGCCGAAACTGTCCCATTGACCAACACCACCGCAACCAGTGCCAGTACTGCCGGCTCAAGAAATGCCTCAAGTCCGGGATGAGGCGGGAAGGTAGGTGGGACACAGGTCAGTGATACCCGTGTCTCCTGAATTCTTCTCCACTCAAACTTTCTTTCTTTCTTTCTTTCACTGTCTCTTTCTCTGTCACTTTCTCGCTTATTTGCTCTTCTTTAGTCACTCATTCCTTCACTTTCCTTCCTGGTCTCTTCGTCACACGCGCTCAAACACACGTCAACTACATGACATGTAGATCTAGATCTAGTTCGTTCTCTCTCTCTCTCTCTCTCTCTCTCTCTCTCTCTC